GAGACAAGCAACTGGTTACCTACTATTTTTCTATATATAACTTTATTTTAAATATTTTCCATTGAAGAATTTACTTTGTTTATGGTAATTAATTATATTTCAAGAACTAACTTGAAACTTTAAATATAAATTAATATAATTTTGGTTATGATAGCATCTTTATATCAAACGCCTATAGAGTTGAGGCAATAATATGTTTGAGCTTAACATTTTGAGGCAAATTACATATGGGATCTAAGTAATAGTAAATTTTGAACAACACATTATTTTTATAAATTAAATGGAGAAAAAAATATACTAATTTTATGGCTTGTCATGTCATGCAGAATGGGGCTAAACATGTTATTTTAAACATTATTAACGTTTATGAATTCTACTATGATGAGTTGGATGCATAACAATCTTACTTGTTATTTTTTTAATAATGTATTTTTTATTATTTGGGTGTTAATTTTCTAGTCTTGACTTGTTTTGTAATGTTTTTCGTGTACTGAGATGTTGTATGGATGTTTTATACAAAAAACTTGATATAATTAAGATCGCTTGTATACTAGACGGGGAATGCTCGGTGGTTAATGCAAGCCTTACTACATTGCTCTAACATGGTTAAGATATATTGCTTTTATTGGGTAATATGATAATTTGACCTGTCTCGACACATCCTGAATTATGTTGATACTAGTTATATGTTGCACTCAATCATTAGATCTTTGGAATGCTATGAGAGATTAGCTATTTATGAAACAATATCCAATAACTGATCTAGATATTTGCACGAGATGGTATCTTTCCATCACATGCTAGTTTATTATACCTACATTGATATATTTTCTAAGATATTCATATAATTCAACGCATTACAACCACTTATATTCAAAATAGAATTGTTTGGTGTGTAATATTTTTATATATGAGACTTTTAAAATGATGATTATTGCTTGTATAGATAGCGGGTGCTAATTATTTTCTATATTTATTAGATTTAATTCTTATTACAAGAGGCTTGGAGAGTAACATCCACTATTTATGAAGGTATTAATGAGATCACCCATGTTTTTGACAACTATTCATTAAATTTGTGTCACATTGGACATGAGGAGGCGGAGCTCAAAGCGATAGTAAAAAAAAAATAAGATGGTTTATCATGAATGGGGGCATGTAGTTAAAGAGACATGTTCATCTAGAAGTATTCCAAACTTATTTACAAGTTAAGGCAATTTTGGTGCTGATTTCTACACGGGTGTTATAGGCCCATCCTCTAGTTGAATGATTTGGAGAGGTGCAAACTCGTCCTCATGCGTTATAAATCCATTAACTAGCTAAAGTGATTTTTATATTTAATTAGATTACATACTTTAATGTTTTAAAAATTATAAATTTATTTTAAATATAATAAAATGCCATATTAAGTTTGATTGTGTTCAATTATGAATATTGAATTGTTAAATTTGATGAATTATGATGTATGTTAATTTTTTAATTGTACCGGGGAGAGGAATTGAGGCCTGTGTTTATAAATTGCAATGTATAATGCTAGTGTTCTGGCCATGGTTTCTTTGTTTGTTTTTTTTTTCTGTTTTCTTTTCAACATCGGGTGCTGCTTCTCCCATGCTGATGCCGCCTGATCATTGGCTGCTTTTTGGTTCCTCTGTGCTCGTTTACTTCATTTTCATTCATTTTCATTTTTTAATTCCGTTTCTTTTGTTGTGACTCTTTGTATTTCTTTTTCTCGCCAAGCCTGGATACAGTGGGAGTTATTCTAATTATGTATGCATTTAAAGGACGTAATGTTCGCTGGTAAATGTGTAATTAATTTGTCTATACATCAATTTCTGGACTATTCTTTTTGTTGGCAGATTTTCTAGTACAGGAAAAGGCACAGTGGTTCGTGACATTGGAATTTTTACTGCTGTCTCCTACTACACTGTTTTGAAAATACAGTATAAATTATATTTAAAAATAATAATTTTTTTATTAAAATTTAATATATTTTGTATTTTTTAGATTGTTTTAATGGACTGATATTAAAAATAATTTTAAAAAATAAAAAAATATTATTAACATATACCAAATTCTACTCGAGGTCAGAGAGGAGGGCTTTAGGAGATAAATTGTGAGCAACAATATACAGATTATACGTTTCGGTGAGTATTAAGGAGGAATTAAAATCTTTTTATCCCATGCTGGAAAAAGGTGGCCGCCAGTATACTTTGCCCCGATCAAAATCTTTTGACCTTTTGAAGACTTGATATCGTAATTTGCGAGATCTGAAACCCCCCAGGCCAAGGTTCTGGTTCAGTGTCGTCCAAGCATTTGATGAAGCTTGTGATCATTTTCACTAAATTTCATGCTACGGGATTAAAATAGTAAAATAAAAAAAACTATAACCGTAATCAAGGTTAGTTAATCATAAGTGTCTAGTTTTTTTTAACATCCTGTTTAATATTACAGTCTAATTATAATTTTAAATTTTTTCTGCTTTAAATTATTCCTTTTAATACTTTTTTTAATCATCTTACTATAAAAATAAATTTTAAAAAATATTATTTTAATATATTTTAAAATAAAAAATCCTATTCAAAGAATATGCTACATGACAGTTTCGAGGACAGAGAAAAGTTTGGTGAAATTTACAGGTTTACATTAATATACTTGAAATAATTAGGTAAATAGTATTAAAAACCACCACAGTGGATATGTTTGAGGCTCAAAAGCCCACCGGATCTCTTCCCTCGAGCAGGACCCATTATGATAGTCTTGGCCACTTGTAGCCTCAGTTTAGGAATATGTTTGATTTGGTATTTTTTTTAAATTTGTACTTTTTTATTTAAATTATTTTTATATATATTTAAAAACATTTTGACTTGATAATATAAAAAATAATTTTTAAAAAATAAAAAATATATTATTTTAATATATTTTCTAATAAAAAATACTTTAAAAACCAACTCAACATCACATTTCCGAACAATATTTCTAATCAAAGATAATTAAAAATTTGGACATGAATATATTAAAGAGAGAGGTGGAAAGTTTGTCGCTCACAGAGACGACAGGTCCCTGTTAGTAACATGCACCTTCAGCAAAGCAGCAATGGAACTCCTCGATCAATCATTATTTTCACATTTTGTTGTTTTCTATGTAATGGCATGTTTTGTATACTATAATGCCTGCTTATACAAGATATATTTTTTGTTAGTCTGTGATGGGATTTACTATAATGTGTAGTTAAAAAATAAATCAATAACTTAAAAAAAAAAAATTGATTTTTTCAGGGGAAGATTTTCTGAATTTCATTAAAGTCTCTCTCCTTTTTAATTGGCTGCTTGTCCGTCTCCTGTAAGATCAGGTCCCTGACACTGGTAAAAAAAGGGTATCGGTTTATTATATATTTTTTTAAATAAAAAAAATCGATTCATTGAACCTTGCAACTATATATTAAAAAAACTTGATTGATTTACATCAAAAAGTTGATTTGTCCTCCGTAAATAATTGTATTAACTAGGATGCTTAAAAAAGACCAGGGGTTTTTTTTGGTTGTGTACTGAGATTAGTCTAAGATTGTCGTCCCCGTTTTAATTTAAAAATATTTAATTAATTAACATGTCACCGCAGTTTTACATGAATTTCACAAAAAAATTATTTTAGAAATCTTGATTAAAAAAATAATAATTTATAATTTTTCTTAAATTAACTTTTTCAAATTATAATTACAAAAGATATTACCATATTAAATACACACTTCAAAACTATGAATGCTTAATTTATAATTTAAGCTATTTTTTATTAATATGTTAGTATATGATATTCATGCCACATACTAAAGTATATATATAGATATATTTGATTTTATTTCTTAATGGTTACAGATTTAGTTTCTTTCATAGACATTGAAAATTTATATAATTATTAATTTTAAAATTAATATGATTAATTGAGATGTATATAAATTAGTCGTGACAATCATATTAATAAAAAAGATATAACATGGATATATTTAAAAAAAATAATTGAAAATAAATTTACATTAAGCAAATTAAATAGTTGAGCAAGCGTGTATATGATGAAACTCATGTGAATCTCAGTTAAAATTTACATAAATTTACAAATGTTGGTTTTTGGATAAAATACGTAAACATCTCCCCCAAACCATCTAACCCTAACAAATAATTGATTTAGTTAAACTTTTCACTTAGAGGAATATTTGTAGCGTGTTAAAAAATACTATTACCGGGCTCTAATTGAGAATTACCCTCTCATAACAATATCCAGCATAGCATCCTAGTAATAATATCTAGCATTGTGTTTTTTTAAATAACACGATAGTGGTTTAAGTGATGACACCATTTCAATAACATAATAATTTCATTACAGAAGATATATTATGTGAAAAAAACAATAAAAAACAATGCTAATTTATCCACATAGCAAATTTATCAAAATTTTATCAAAATATCAATAAACCTAAACATAATCAATAAAACTATAATTCATACAAATCAAATCAACATAATTAAGCAACCCAACTGGGGTCATTTGAAGCCAATTAACATATCTTACAATTAACACAACTCTTAACACCAACATAATCCATGCAAACCTAATTCGTTGATTTTTTCACTATACCTCAAATTGATCAAATAAAGGTCTTGAAGGTGCTGACGAGAGAGAAAAAGAGTAATACAGGGCAAGAAGGTTTGTCACGGTGCAGGGAGAGATCGAGTGGGTGAGGTTGAGAGCAGTTCTTGAAAGGAGGGAGAATAGGGATGAAAAGATAAATAAGAAGAGGATAAAAAAAAATAATTCGAAACTCCATTGTATTCGCGCATGTACTATATTAGTTGTATAATTAAAAAATATTCTGTAAACAATCCTAGTTTAGAAGATACTATTATGTTAACAGGTATTTTTGCTATTATGTTAATAAGGGAAAAAAACTATTTAAAAGAGTGTATATTTTGACCAGATTCCAAAAAAAATTCAAAGAAAAACACATTGCATATCGAAAAATACTTTTTGCTTGAAAAAACTCTTGAAAAGTGTCTCTATATTTTGACCAGAGTCCAAGAACAATCCCAGGGAGATCAGACACTGTGTAGGGTACAGTGTGATACTCTTTTTGCAGAGGCTGCCCTACTTGCTTTTCCGTCTACATCAGAGTAGAGGTCCAAACTCCGACATTCGTCAGCTGAAATGACTCCTCGTTCTCCAGCCTGAGTAACAGAAGTGAAGCCAAAGCAAGCACAGGAAGGCAAACAGCACACACAATGTACCAAACAGTATGATTTTTGCCTGAAATAGCTTAGCGTTAAGAAACAATGGATTACGAAAGGATCGAAAAGCCTCAGGTACTTATTGATTCATCATCATTTTCTTTCTTTCTTTCTTCAATACTCTCTCTTCACCCAATGTATTTTATTTATTGCTTACAATTTCCTTTTCAAAAAAATAATGATCTGTCTTTTCTCTCAGCCTTTGATCTGTCACCCACATTCACTCCAAACCCAACAGTTGTGTTTTTTTTTTGAGAAAAAAGGAAAGATTCGCATTACTGATTTAGTTGTAATCTGGGGTGGAAATTAGGGTGGAGGAGGATTGTCGCCGGGGAAACTGAGAAGTATGTTGTTGGGAGTGGAAAAGAGGAGAAAGCAACAAGAAGAAGAACTTGAATCTGCTTACGCCTTCAGATCTCAACTTAATCATCTTGATGAAACTGGTAGGCGAGAAGCCTCTCCCCCTTTTTTATTCTCCAACATGTCTGTTCCAACATGTCTGTCTGTGATTTGTTTTCTTTTTCTATTGGAAAAGGGTGGGGGGTTTAGGCAAGGCGTTAAAGATGTAATTAAGGGATCCAATTGGATTATGTTTCTGCACTTGTTATTTTATAAGAACGGAAGATTTCAGAGCAAACTTGAATCAATATCTCCTAATGTGTGTAGGTGGTAGCAGTTCTGATAATTGCAAAGATGTAGATGTTGTTAGTGTACTTCCCGAATACTTTACTTCAGCTACAGTTGATTCCAGGTCGGCATCACAGATGGTTGGTGATGGTGGTAGATTGAAGGATCACTCTTTTGCCAATTCAAGAATTAGGAGCCAGGAAGTCCAATCTTTAGATTACGACAGTGGTCATGATACTGCAATTATGCCCTACTCGATTTTTGATTTTCAGAAGGCTGAGCGGGCCCCACAAAGAGTGCCCCTTGCTCCATTCTCAAAACCAGCACCATCGAAATGGGATGATGCCCAGAAGTGGATTGCAAGCCCCACTTGGAACCTGCCTAAAACAGGGCAGGCTCAGGTGCAAGGTGGACAAGGACTGCGGAAGATGGGTAATGTTCTGAGTCGGCAACCTTCTACCAAGGTTGTTGTAGAAGTTCCAGAACAAAAGGTGGTTACATTTGAAGAACCGGATACAAAACGGGTTGATACTAGTCAAGCCAAGAAGGAAACTGGTGTACAAAGACTTAAAAGTTGGGAGGCTGATTCATACCCAATAGCAGATTCTTATGGCAAGCCTGTGCTTATGATTGAGAATTCTGTTGGACAATCAGCTAGTAAGAAATAACTGTTTCTGAGTTTGTTTCATATGCTTAATCATGTTCTGCAATTGATACAGTATTTGTGTTTTGCTTCTTGTTCTGCAAGTAATTTATTTTGTGCTCCGTGGTGCTTACACTTTCTATTCTGCAACACATTAAAATGTGATTCACTATGTTAGTTGTTAAACGTAGTTGGATAAGGGATCTTGTGAAACCAGTAATGATCTCATGGTATATTAATTTGATAATTGGGTGATTCACCTGTCTGAAACACAACATGAGTCAATATCCATGCTTTATCAATAATGAATATGGAGGATGGTAGGGATTCTGGCATTACTTCCCAAGTTTCCTTCCAAACTCTGGCCATTTAATGAAAACTTCTTTATTATTCAAATTGCTCTTGACTTAAAGGAGCTGTTTGGGTAGCTTAAAAGGATTCCTATTGCAAACACTGTTTCTCTCCCATTCTATGCGGGTCCTTTCCAGTTTCTATTTATTCCATTAACCATAAAAATTTGTGGATGAGAGCAAGAAGGTGGTATAGCTGCACTTTGTTAAGACTATTTTTAATTTGGTTGGGAGCATGGTTCTGATTTCAATTTCTCCTCTAAATTATTTTTCCAGGTTCCATAACAAATTCTCCTAAATTGGAGTTGCCTTTGGCTGTATGATGTGACGATGCTACTAGAGATAATGGGCCTAGCCTCCTTTTTTTTTCATGAGAAGTTTTTGGTAGAAACTGATAGATTCAATATTCTTCTATAGTAAATTGATATTTTTTTCATTTCGGTACAAGCATGAAAATATGGAGAAAAAACAAAACTAGTATTACGTGCAGCTGTAGAAAGTCTGAAAAGTGTTGGGTTTTTAGTTCTTCAGTTTTTATGTTAACATCCTTCAGCCTAGAAGAAAGTATTATGACATTTTTTTATCTCATCCATGCATACAGTCGTACCAAATAATATTTGAAGAACGAATGTCATATTCCTTTTGTTTTTTTTCCTTGCAGTCAGTCTCAGCAGGCATGATTCATCTTTGGCCATACACAGTGCAACTACATTTATTCCGCCTCCTTCAACTGCTCGATCTGTATCAATGAGAGATATGGGTACGGAAATGACTCCTATTGCTAGTCAAGAGCCTTCCAGGACAGGAACTCCAGTGAGAGCAACAACACCAATTCTTAGTCCAACTTCTTCTAGGCCATCAACTCCTGGCAGAGCTGCACCGACTTCATCTCCATCAAATCCTCTCAATGACCATCAAAATCCAAACAAGGAATTGTCTGAAAAGGAGCTACAAATGAAAACCAGAAGAGAAATAATGGTTCTGGGGACGCAGCTAGGTAAAAAGAACATTGCAGCCTGGGCTAGCAAAGAGGAGGAGGATAAGGATGCATCCACTTCACTGAAAACTATAGGAGCTGATCAACAGAGTACAAATGTGATTGAAACACGTGCAGCAGCATGGGAGGAGGCAGAGAAAGCCAAGTACACGGCCAGGTATTTTCACTATAAGCCATCAATTAAAAAATTCCTTTCCTTTCTTTTTATCCCCTCTTGTTTTCTTATCACTGACCTATAACATGACGTCTCTAACATATAAGCAAACATCATACTATGTATGCATTTCAAGTTTTGAAACCTGACATGGTATAAATTGCTCAACATAATGGATTCTAGCAAGTTACGGAACTTGACTGATCTTCACCCTTTCCTTGACATGGCATAATGTTAGTTATACACATACAATAGAAATTAGGTGGATGTATTTCTGTTGGACAACATAGAAATTTGTGGAATATCTTAAACGAGGTTTAGGTGAAAGAATACTTTGGTGACGTCCAATGTGATATGCTTTGCTTACTCCAGAAGAAGCAAAACAGTACATTTCCTCATGGGCCCCTAGAAAGTATTTACTGTGCTTTACTTGTAGAAATCCCTATAGGATAGATAATGTTTGCCAAGCAAGGAAATAGATTTATCTGAAAAGTTTACACTTTTTCAGTCCAGTCTGCTAGATTTTCATGTCATTAATCTATATAAAGGACTCAAGTACTTTTACTTGGGTAATACTTGCTTAGTAATTTTCAACATGTGGTTTGAAGAGGAATACTTGCAATTCTTCAGGTTTAAACGTGAAGAGATGAAAATTCAAGCATGGGAGAATCATCAAAAAGCAAAAACAGAAGCCGAGATGAGGAAAATTGAGGTATTTGATAATTTCTGCTGCTCTATTGTAGCAAAGGTTTTTTGTTCTTTTTTTAATTCTCGTTTTCCTTGTAAAAAATTGGCCTAGAAGTGTAGGGA